CAAATGATTCATCTCCATTTTCTCCATATTTCATTAACAAACATGAAAGAAAGTTCAAAAATTTCTTTCTGCTGTTTGACTCCTCTTCATCATTTTCGCAGTCTACTGTCTAGCCACGTTTCGAATTGCCTTTTCAACAGAGGAAAAAAAGCCGATTGAAGGCTTTCGCTTAGAACGGCAAATTCCATCAAACCCCATTAAGTCGTCTATTCAAGGATTGATGGATACAGTGTGTGTGCGTGTGTGTGTATGTCTGTCTATGTGTGCTCTATGTGTGGGTGAAAGATAATTTTACAAAAATACATCTTTTCATCTAAATTTCTTCCTCAGTTTATAAGGAACAAAAAGTTTCAATAGCCATAGGCAATATTCAAAACTCAAAGTACTTTAATTTGGTTTTCATCTGCCTATTCTCTTTCTCTTTCGCGAAACCTTATACCCGCTTTGACTACATCATCTGCTCATTTCAATCATAATTTATTTCAAAATGTTGTTTTTCTTTTCAGAAATCTCAAAATATGTTTTGTTATCTTCTTCCTGTGTGCTTTCGTTCGTCAGTAGCAACACCTTCGTTCTGCACACCAAACATTCCAATTTCACATATACACGCCACACACACGTGTAATTAGCATAGTTTAACTGTTTGACCCTCTCTCTCTCTCGTGTTTCATTTTCATTTTCAAAAAAAAAAACGCATGAATGGTTGTTCTTCTTTAGCCTTTTCACATCACTTACAGATACAATTTGGTTTTAAAGCTCTAAACGTGGTTCCTCATGGCCGTTTCATAGGTTTTCATTAAGGAGCCATGAAATTTCTCTTTATATCTGATAAATTTCGTGAACACAAAGATCTTTTTTGCTCATTTATCTGATAACATCCTATGGCGATCTTAGTGAACTGCGAAACATCGGAGTTTCATGATCTTTGTTCCAGAAAAGACTTTACTATTCAATGTATGTTTGAAAAAAAAATGAGGTGGGGGAGGTTCAGGTTAAGAGGTAAAGGTAGGAAGAAGTCTTATTCAAAGAACATCTTCTTCTTTCTAATTTTTTTGTTTCAAAAAATATTTCTTGAATAACGAAAAGATGCTCTGAAACCGAAAACAAATGTATTTCCTCTTCGTTTCCAACAAATTAGGTTAAAACTACAGAAATAGTTCAAAGGCAAAATTATTTGGAAGATAATTCATCATGTCAGCTTGTTTCGAACACTCTTTTCGAGACTATTATTGGACATACGAGTAACCCTCCAACATCTATCTTTGGATAGCAAAAGCCTAAACGATAAAGCGCTCAATGTGGTGATCCCATAGCATGAGAGCCGGATATGAAAACATCTGATCGTAAGAAGCTTATCTTTCGCAACATTTCTTCATCTCTCAACAGTATTAGTTTTCTTTCTTTCTTTCTTTTTTTTTTACAAAATACTAATGATATCACATTGTTTTCTCCAATCCTCCACCCTCCCATCACAACAATCGTCTTCTGAGAATTGGAAACAAAAAAAAATTAAAATTTCCAATTGTCCATCCATTAACTACGGGAAGGCATCATTAGGCAAACCAATTTTCGTCTGATGATTTCTTAAATACGATATCAGTCTTCGTTCTCCTCCTCGTACTACATCCTTCTTACCTGTCCTTTGCTGCAAATCGAAAAACGACAAAAAATATTTTGAGATAACAACCAGAAAGGCTGCCGGAGTGATCACGGTTCAACCTTTTAACTTAATTTTCGTGCCAGGACTCTTTCGCCGTCTAAGATTTGAATACCAACCGCCATTTTTTGAGCTAATTTCATCGTAAGACGGTTGCAATGCGTAATTTAATTTTTCTATTTTGAAAGTAAGTCAATCTAGTGGACATATATAGCAATATTTGAGTTTCGTGTCAGTGCTGTTATCGCCGTATTGAATTAATTAATAAAAATATGGTGTAAGTTGTCAAAAACTTATTTCTGCTCTCCTTGTAATTGTTTTTAAAATTATTTTGTTTTCAAATCAAGTGGCTATCTGTGGAGCATCTGATGCTTGATTGGACATCTGCAGAAAGCACGTGTATAAGCCAATTATATTGAAAATTTCTTTTTTTTTTGGGCCATTCTTTTGATTTCATCACAGATTCCCAAATACACAAGAATCTTGTTTGGCTCCATCTTCCGAAGACATTCCTCAAGTGCTCAAATCAGCTTTTGTGGCCATCGAAAGATGTTGTTAATGAGAAGAACATTCGTCAACTGTCTCATTCCGAACACTTGTGGTCCTCCATTTTCTAGAAAAGAAAAAATGGATCTCTCCTGATCTCATACGGATATGCTCCTTTCCTAGAGCTTTTCTTTTTTTTTTGATTTTTTTAAGCTCGAAGATAGAACTACAAGAGTGAGTGTTTTTGAAAAAATCCTCCAATTGTATTTGATTTGTTGTTGGAGATTTGCATGAGAACATTCTGTGAGAAAGTGAGTTTGAGGAAAAAGTGTGCGTGATATTTCCTTATTTATATGTTATTATACTATTAATTGAAGGCGGTAAGAGCATGTGCACTTGGCGCCCTACTCCAAAAAAGTTTGCCTCCCAATGCTTTCACCTCTTTTCTCCTCGTGGACTAACTCTAGCTCTTTTCCATCTGCAACTCCGACAACTCTAGCTCCCTCATGTTCTCAAAGTAATTAAGCGAGCCAAAGTTTCATTTTTACTTTCGAATACATAAGGTTACTCAAAGTCATAATTTTCTTTTTTGTCTGAACGATCTTTCCTCTAAGTTGAGTTTGAAAGTCGCTGCAAAATCAAATTAACATTTGATTCTATTTGGAAATCAACCACAAGCAGCTTCCTGAGTTGTTTCAGGAGTTTGTTTATTATTTTTTGGTTCTAAAAGCATTTTTGCATCATTAATTGGAAGAAGAAATTGTATTTTTTGTGACAAACAGTAGACAACAATGGTTCTGTGACAGTTACGAGAGAAGGGAAGGCGAGAGAGGATGTGATGAATAATTTCGGAAACGCATTTTCCGCAATTGCTGCCGTTATGGCAGCTGCATATGAGACGTGGGATTTTCTGAGGTAATGAACGAACCTCTCATATTCTTTTTTTTTTTGTTTAATTTTTTTCGCACCTGTCGAACTTTGCATGTACACGAGACGAATAAGCATTGCGTCTTGTTATTGTCCATGCCCTCTTTGCTCAGACGCAAAGAATTATCGTTTGGATTAAGATAGCTTTTTGTCATCTCTGAAACAAGTTATACATGTTAACTATAAAGTTTCTATTCATTTCAATTTGTTAGGTTTAAAAAGGAATTATATAAACACATAGTACATTCTGTCATTAAATAACAAAAATCAACAGAAATTTTGAATTTTAAATAGGCTCACAATTCAGATTTTTCATCCTGAAGTTGCCCTGACGGCTACACTCCATGCTCCAAATCTATGATGACCGCGATTTTTACTTAAATTTTTCGGACAAAAAGAGATGGAGTCAAGTGAGATTCTATTCACATGAATATCTCAATGAGTCCATCTATTTCATTTTATTAATTTTCATGATGATGATCTACTTTATTCTTGAGCTTCTGTGACTTTTTGGACGACATGTTGTCGTTTTCTTAATCTCATTCATGCTTTTCAAATATCCTTCCTCTTCCTCCCTCTATCTCTCTCTCTATCTCTCTCTATTTCTTTTGCATTAACTCTCTTTGATTCTCTTCATAGTTTTACGGATAATTCCTTCTTCTTCTTTTACTTCCTACTCTTTAAGATTCTCACGAGAACTCACCCTCACCCCCTTTGACCGTGATCATCCATGAATTACCCATTCAACCCAAAAATGGTCAAAATGATTTTTCTTTTTTTTTTTGTCGTGAGCCGTCATCCATCTTATTCACATTGCATCGCTTCGAGAAAATGAAGAAATTTCAAATTTGTGACTTTTCATCTCTGAAGAAGATGGAGAAGCTCAGTTTTTAGGACTAAACCTTCAGTCTCATTGCCGCTTGAAAAGCTTTTGATTATAAGCACAAGTATGTCTCGAATTAAGGAAAGATAAATAAATTGAGAGAGTGAGAAGCAGATAGTATGAGAGAATGAGCAAGAGCATGTGAATGAGAGAGAGAATGAGCATAAGAGCGTGGAAATTCTTTTTTATTTTTTTGCGAAACAAGTTGAAATGGATTTAGATCTGACCTTTTCATTTATAAATGACGTTTTACAGAGAGGTAACATGAGAGAGCAATTGACTACTTCCTTTCTCAACTAACTTCCGAAAAAACTTCAAGAAGTTCAGTTGTTGTTGAGACGTACAATCTCTTGACGAACTCAGAAAGTAGAAAAACCTTTTTTTGTCTTTCTATCCTTCTCTCTCTTCATCCATGATTTCTAAGCTCTCCAGTCATCTAACCATAAAATGGCATCATCTGATCACGGTTGTCTTCCACGTCGTTCTTGATGCTGTCAAGACTTCATTCAAAAGTTTCCTGAAAGGAGAAAAAAAAAAGTCTTTTACTTAAACTTCCAACGGAAAATTTGATCGGAGAAACTGGATGAAGCTGATCGTGAATGTCTTTTTCCCCTCCCCTTGTTTCATTTTCTCTTGCTCTTACCCTCATATACTTCACTCTCGTACTTCAAGCAGGACATTAAGCTTCACTACATTTTCATAAACTTTTTTTTTATTCTCATGCAGAAAAATAATTCCGATTTCTTCATTTTCTACTTTGATGGTATTTTTCTTTTTCTTCCGAATTTGAAAAGCTTAGTGCAGAACTCGGTTAAGATTCTCTTGTTTTCAGTATTCTCCAGCATTTCAGTTATTTCTGGCTTTTACCAAACGTTTTGTGTCTAACTTATCATTCTCATTCTCATATACTCACATTCTCATTTTCTTTCCTTCCATCTCTCAGTCTCCATTTCTCTCTTAATCTCTCATGTCTCTCTCTATATCTCTTTCAATCTCTTTATATGCATATATGTATTGCACCTCTAATCAGTAATTTTTTTTTCAGAAATGAATGATGAAGCTTCGACAGCAATTTATTCAGATTGGACACATCACGGGGGAGTGCCATTTCAGGTAAAAACAAAAAAATTTTTATGAACAATTAGATGCACAAAGGAGTTGTTGAAAGCGAAGAGAGTGTTTTCCAATTGCAACCTGAATATCATTTAGCTTTTTTTTTATTTTTTTAGACAGAAAAAAAAATTTTTTTTTTCTAAAAATGTCAAAGTAATGAGCAAAGCAAGATGAGATCGTCTCATCTTTCATACCTTTACCATTTCATGAATGTTATGTCTGCATGCTGTTAGATCTACAATGCATTCGACTTATCTCTATATCTCCCCCACCCTGTTTGTTTTTTGTTTTTTTCTCAACCTCTATCCTTCACTCTCTCTCTCTATATATATATATGAATATCTTCTTCCATTTTGCTCTCTCTCTCTCTCTCCCTCTGCCGTTTTCATATTTTTGAAACAGAAAAACCTTCCCTCCCTTCTAAAAATCTTCTGTTGTTCTGAAATATTTTTGTTCAAAAACGGAAAGAACAATGCAAGTGGTTGTGATACTCGGTGCTCAATGTATTCATCCGTAACTTTTCGTTTTCTTTTTTTTTCTTTTTTTATTTCCTCCTTTAGTTCATCTTCATCTTCTTCGTCTTCATCTTCATCTGCATCACGGTCGTCTACGTTGTCTTCATCATCTTCCTCTCCTTCACATTTTTTCATCTTTCAACAGCATCATTTTCGTTCTTTCAATAAATTTCTAAATATAGCCAAAATACTTTGAAGTATTTCTTCACAAGGAGGTCAACTGAAGACTCAATCATTTGGAATTTCGGGGCTAAAAAAGAAAATAAAAGATTTCTCCCATCATCTACTTTAATAATCAATGAATCTCTATTTTAATGTCTCACAAATCCATTTATATTATCTAAATAATCCATAAAATTATTTTTAAATCCTTACCTTATATGTACATCTTGCTGATGAGGTTGTTTATCTACCTATCTATCAAAACATCTAACTGTCTGCACTCTCTGCGTACGTCAATCATAATCATCAATCACTTACTGACTCAAGTTGTGTTCAAGTTTTTGCGTTTTGCCGTCTACAACCTTCATACGTGATCACTCTTAACAGATAGTTTGTTGGCAATTTGCTTTCTTATTCTTTCTCTCTCTTTCTGTTCAAAAATCTGAAAAACAAGCAAACTTCTTATTGAAGACAGGTTCAGGAAAAGAGAGAAAGAGAGAGAGAGAGAGGAAAGCACGGAAGGAGGTAGCCAAACGGCATAAAAGGAGAGAATAACTCTCTTGACAGAGTTTCTGATGAAGAATTGTCAAAGTTGTGACACACGCAGCACCCCCATTCTAAACATACAATTCAAATCTTGTTTTCCTGGTAGAAAAAAAACCAAATTTTTTTAATGAAAGATTGAACAAAACTTTCTCGGAAATTCATCTGAGCTTCAATCAGTGAACTCTACAACAAGCCATGACCCTCTATCTCTCTATCTCTCTCCCTCGTATTCCGCTTATGCGTCAGCATGTTGTGGCAGATCATCAGCTCATCCTTCCATGATTTTCTTCTGTTCATATTCTCTTTCTCTCCATTTCTTTTTTTGTTTCTCTGTTTTTTTCTCATCAGAAATGAGAGAAGCTCCTCCTTTTTTTTCTGTTGGAAGCTCAAAGAATCCACTTTTGGACGCGGCTTAAACTCCACCCACCTCCATCATGCTCACATAGCTAAACAAGAGGAAAAGCTGTCACACAAGCCCAATTTCTTCATAAACACATAGTTGAACATCCCACTTGTCATTATTGTTCTTTAATCATATCAAATTCTCAGGAGACATGTAGATAAAAACTTTTCTTCTTTTTATTTTTTTTCTTCTGTTTTCTAGTGGAAGGAAATTCTGCGGTCATCTGCTTCATGTTTCATTTCCTTGCTCTGTTATACTTTTGAAAGCTTCCTCCTACAACATACTTGTAATTCTTAATCCTAGACTTACACTTCGTTCTTCTACATCTTGATTTTCGATTTCATTTTTGGCGTCCAACAAGACTTGCTCGTCATGCAGAATTTGGTAAGTTCATTTTCCTCCTTCACAGATTTTTCTCGTTCCCTCTGAATGTTTTTCGTTTAACGATGAGCATATCTTAATTCAACACATAATTAGATATCTCTGTTCGAAGAGAAATCCTTTGTGGTCACGAAGACTATTTCCTTGTTCAGTCATCTTTTGCATGCTATTAATGCTTAATAAGCTCTGTTTACAACAAACATTTCGAACGTAATATGCAAATTCCATGTAGAGACACTTTCTCTTCACTCCTCTAACCAAGAAACTCCTAACGTCTCTACAAAATCAAACTCAACTCCAACCGGAAAAGTAACAAAAAGTGTCGAAAAAATGTGAAAAGCAGTTGAGAAACTCCATTGGAGGACAAATATGAATTTAATCAAACGTTTGTTCCCAAAAACTGCCATTGCACAAACTTTTTTTTTTGTCCCTGTCATACACTGTTCATTCAACTTATTTTTTTGTTTTGTTTTTCATCCATTTAACGTCATCTGCTCCATTTCGTTTGCTCTGTTTCCGACTTGAAGTTACAACATGCATGTACTTTAATTGCCACAGGCAATGTCAAAGAATAGTTTCAACAAAAAAAAAAAGAAGAGAGAAGAGTGGAAGAAGAATGACATGTCCTTAGGTTGTGAATCTGAAAAGAATGCAAAAATATTATTTTTTTTTGCTGAACATTTTGACATGTAAACAATCGAATTCGAATAGGTAATGCTTTAGCCGTTTGAACATCATTCTGAGCACGTGTCAGATCTACAAGTTAATTTTCAAATTTGTAATCCTACGCGCCCAAACTATCAAAAATCTACGTATGCTAATTTCAAGCACACGCTTGGCTCCCAAACATCAGAACTTATTTTGATGTTGAGGCTACGTAGTGAGCGGTTGCATACGAGGAAGAGGAAAGGAATAAAAAAAAAAAAAAGAAGAAAAATTTTCATTTTTCAACATTTTAAATTAATTTTTGTGAAGCAAACCATGTTTACAGGGATTGAGGAAATACATTGCTTTTACATACATTGGATTTAATATCGTTGGGTTCATTGTGAACATTTGGGTTTTCTATGTCGTCGCACCACTCATTTTCGCTCCAGCCGTTAAGGTAATTCTTAGATGATCGGATTTTTATTTCATCTATGATGCTAGTTGAACTAATAACAATAGCAAGCTTATTCAGGTTCCAAAAAGTATCTTATTCTTCATCATGGCATTATGCGTAGGAGATCTTATGACCATGATAGGTAATCGGATGAACACACACACCGAAAATAGAGAATCTTATTTCGTTTATTTCAGCCATGCTTTTACTCGTTATGGAATTATTTTTTGGCACCTGGCAGTTCTCGTCTGTTGTCTGTACATCATATCTAGTGTTTGATTCGATGAACAAGTATGTTTTCTTTTTTACTCACTTTCTACCAATGTCTTGTTACTTCAATATTCCATTTTTTGTTATTCTCTGTCTTCCTGTTAATCTAATTTTGTTATTTTCTTCAGATTCATCGCCCCAATGATTGTCTTTCTCATAAGTCGCACATGCTACGCGACAATTTGCTTAAATAAAACTAAAGCTGAAAGAGCTGCGAGCCTTAAGGTAAGGCATCATAAACTGTTTCCGTGTTCTCTTCCGCCAACCTGTTTGCCCAATTAGTTCTACTATGGGTTCCTTGTTGTTTGGCATTCTTTTTAAACTTTTCGAACAATTGTAATATTGAATTCGAAATCAAAGCTCAATCTAGTTCGAATGTTATTTGGATTCTTTAGTACGCGGTGGTTCAATTAGCTGTTGCTCTCGGGTTCGTATTGGTTTTAGTGTGGCCAGTCTTTGCATATTCGCAGGTAATCATTGCTATTCGAAACAAGCTTACAGTTCCTTTCAGGTTTTCACATTCTATATTAATCCTAATAGTACAACGAAAGAAGTAACGATCATTCGGAAGTGTGGTTTCTTCCCTCCTCAACGTACTGTCCGTATAGCATCTGCCTGACTGACGGTTACCATTTTCAGAAATCGAGTTCTGGTTCAACCTGATAGCTTGTATAACCTCATACGCGGTACCATTAATTGGAATCATCTATTCATATCTATCTGTACCGTTTTTTCTGAAACGGCGAGCTCTAACGACACTAGTGTCATCAAAGTAAGTATTCAAAACTTCTGCAGAATAATCAACTCTAACACAAAAGCTAAATAATATGCATTTTCGTCAGTTCAAGCACTTAACAAAAAGAATTTCACTGATGGAATACTTCATGTTTAATGCGTATGAAGAGAAGATAAACGAATTTCAATAATGTCAACAATATTCTATTCAGAAGCTTTTTGTCCTCTAAAAAACTTTTTTTGACTCTTCTATAGAAAAATATTTAATTTTCTATTTGTTACAGCTCAATTGACAATGCCATGCGTAAGGTTATAACAACTGTTTTATTGTTAACTGCTATATATGTGCTGTGCTGGTCTCCATACTGGGTGTCCATGTTTGCCCACGACATTCTACCTGTTGCCCAGAAATATAGTTGAGTTGTTCGGTCAATTTCATACTTAATATACTATTTCAGTGGTAATTATTTCATATTTCATTCATTTGTTACCGTATGTTAGCTGTTTAGCTTATCCCGTTATATTCACTCTCATGAATAGAGGTAATTTATATTTTCCATTTCCCAAAATAGTAATCACAAGTCTGCATTATGGACAGAATTTCATCAAAAATATTTTTTTCAGGCATACGAACAGCTCATGCGAAAATAGTTGCTGATCAGCGTCGCAGATTCAGAAGTTTAACAGACGATGCAACAGTTCATGTCAGGAGCGTCATACGGTATTTCATTTTGCTTCAAACAGTTCATCCCATTAATTGAATTTGTAGTGGATTCCCACAACGTCTACGACAACCCAACTCTAATATTCAGAATGATCCAAAATCCACAAGTTCTGATTCAGCAACAAGATGTGTAGAACTAGTATATCGCGAGAAGGTTCTTTGCTTTCTTTCTTCGTCTTTTTTTTTTCACCTCTTTACTTCAGGTACCCGACACGAAGACATACTCAACAGACGAAAACTCAGGTTATGGAGCTAATAGTAATGAGACAACTCGAGAAATCGAAAATGAAACGTTGTTAAGTTAGGAATTTTGATTAAATCCATATTCTTTTTTATTCCTAATGGGTATATATGTTGTAAATATTATTCTCATCGTTATCAGCCATGTGTGTGACTATATGATCTCATTTTGAAGTTTTCAATTTTCCTCTATTTCATAATTCAGCTTTTTATTCTCCCGTTTATCAACGAAAATTGAGTAAAAAAATTATATTATAATGACCATATATGAAATGTACGATAGTCTATGTGAAGACCGAAGATAAATAAGCATGATGGAATTACAGGGGAAAAAAAAAGTTGCAACTGAACGACCAAATAGAGTATGTCAACATGAAGCTTATTTTGTCCAATAGCATAGATCACAAGATCACTCATAGTTTATGTGAATGTTTGAAAGATCATTCTGATAATCTTTTCACAGCTTCATTTTTCGTAATAAAAGATGTGTTAAGGCTGGAATATCATATGATTGCTTTCAAAATATTAAACACAAGCCTGTTGAGCCCAGATGGTCATGATTAAAATACGAAATTTTCGTTAAATTCGCCCATCTTCTTCACTTTTTTGCAATATTTTCATTTGTCTTTACTGAAATATTTGACGTTTCTTGTTCCACAAAAGGAAAATGCATTCGGCAAACAATCTCTCTGAACGAGGGATTAAGCATAGAGCCAACCACGTTGCACTGACCTCTGCCTCCTTCTCCACCTCCTTCTTCTTCTTCTTCTCCGACGTCGTCGTCGTCGTGGTCTTCATCTTCTTGTTGTGTTGCTCACTTCAGTCTAATGTCTGTTGTCGTTTTGGTTGTTTAGCACAGAGACTGGACAGTCAAAAATGAACTCGCACGGTTTCTTTATGATCAAAACGTTCCGACCATTTGTTGCAAACATTCATCGTTCGCCTTTTATTGAATACTTCTTTGCAAGAACTGTAAAGATGATTAGATTCATTCGATTTCTAAGCTACATGCACTCATGCAGTCTCTGGATAACTCTATTTAAAATATCAAGCAAATTTCAAATTCATTATCTTGGCGCCTAATTTCCACGTAAATCTATTTCTTGCTCATAATCTCATTTTCTTCTACAGTACGCATAATGAGCGGTTGCTTCCACTTTTAACTTTAAGAAAGTTATTTTAACTCTTTCTCTTCCTTCATTCTGCTCATAACCCGAGTTTATTTCCTTTTTTCTTTCTTTTGCGCACTTTTGCTGTCATCCTAGATTCTCTTGTTTATGGAAGACGACTGTCTTTTGACAAGTTTAAGATTTGTTTTAATTTTTTTTATCCTTTTTCTTTCATTGGTAAATGAATGCGCTATACTTATCTTCCATTTCGTTCCTGTCATCATTACATTCCTTGCGTCACGGTAGACAGTAGGTCTGTCTAGACATATGAGGAATGAATTTTTTGACATCTATCAACATTACCTTAAATCTTCATGTCATTTTTTGTCTAATATCAAACTTCGCAGTTTGTCAGCTGTTGGTATCATTTGCACTCAGCCTTGAGGCGATTATAAGAGAGCGAAGTAGGGTAAATGTGTAAATAAGGTTCATATAGGGTAGAGGTGGAGACAGTCCACCTACTTCATTGAGAGAGAAGACTTTTGCAAGAAAGAGAAGAGAACAAAAGTGTGAGCTAGAGTCGCGAAATCTGAGTGTTGGAGCGCGAGACTGTCAGGCGAGGAAAGAAGCAAAAAGCTGGTTGAATGAAGGAAGGAGAAAATGGACAGGGTGAATGAATGACCACGAGAAGCTAGATGAGAAGACGACAAAAGCTTAAGTTTGACGCTTTCATCTCTTCATCATCATATAGAGCTTGTCGCTTTCCTTGTTCACTTGCCTCATTATCGTCTTGAATTCGTATAGATTATTTATCGCATAGACAGATGCTATGAAAGGTGATGATGTCATCGATACTTCTAGCACATCTTATTGTTATAGCATTACTTTATGTGTTGTTACATTACTCAAAGTCATTCTACTCTAATGTTTCTAAAGAAATCTATTTGTGAAGCATCAGAACGCTCATCGCGTGTTCAGTCTTGTTCTCCCTATTCATAATAGCTTTGAAATATTTTTTCGCTTTTCTTCTTATTAGTTTCCTTTCTTCTTAGCTTGCGTCCTCTAACTTAGCATGTGTGAAGCATTCACCTGTTTGTTTTCTAAACCTTTATTATCGAAAAAGAAAAAAGATAATTGCTAAGAATGGGTAGAGTGTCTTGGTCAATCCATCTTTACTTTTAACTCTTCATCGCCTTTCTTTGATTTTTTTCTCGTTCCACTCGACTATATTGCACTTTGTCAATTCAAAACTCTCATCTGACCAGAGAGAAAGACGTAGTTACTCCATATCTACAGTTCAGATAGTAGAAGATTCGAACTAATTACTTACAAAAAAAGTTTTTCGGAGAACATTACCTCTTCTTGAATTTCATCAGAAGCAACAATGATTGTCTATTGGTGGTCAGTATATTACTGACATCTATATAGAGGTGTGGGAAGAGATGTGGCGAAATCTAAAACAGATAGAACTGTCTAGCTCTTTTTCCCTTTTTTTTTCTCATTGTATATGTCTTCGTTCCCCTCTGAAGTACTGTGTTCATTGACACCCGTCTGAGCACACTCAGTGCTATCTGATACATCGGATGACCAATGCATCTGCTTTTTCTATTCTTCCTCACAAAACTTTTCAATCCGTGGAAAGATATTTAACAAACCCAAGAGAAACAGATGATTGTTATTTCAATATCCCTTTTTGAGTTTTTCGATCTTTTCGTTGACTTTCATCTCTCAACACGCGCCATTTCTCTGTCTGTATATTAAATCCGAGAGGTCTGCACCAATCCTTTTTTTTTTTTTTTGTCGGATATTATCCAAGATCGTTTAGAGTATAATGTATCTTGAATGTATGGATGATTAAACTCATCCCCTTAATCTCTTCATTAGTGGTTTTCCATTTTTGAAACTACCAATTCACTCTCTCTTCCTTTCTCCCTTCCTCATTCACACTCTCAACCTGTAATCGCTTTTTTTATTATCTAATTTGACAGATTATTCTTGTGACATTTGTGTTTTTTACTCATTCAACTCTTTATAAACTTCTGTTTCTTGTTCCATATACCATATTTGACAATGAAAATCCTTTTTCCCATTTCAGACATCAGTCCGTACTAGGAAGCTCGTCTGCTTCTCACACTTGTCTCATATTAGCAACTATTGTAGTTTCCATATTTTGAAGAAGAAGCAATATTTGAGAATTGTTTTGCCAACCAATGTGTTTCTGATCAAACTCATTGACTGCCTTAGCACCATTTCCGAAAATGCGTTTTGATTGTGTCGAACGAGAATTTGCTAATATTTTTGGCAAATACAGGTAAGGAAACAGAACCATATGCATAAATGAAGTTTTCGACCTTCATCTATATATACGGAACTTATTTCTTCTTTTTATTATCTCAACAAATGTATCTCTGCTCTCAACAATCAGCTTAGTTCATCAACATAGGTTCGGAACTTAGAAATGATATAAGCTTACTCTCCTCATTTCTCTTACTATTTCTTTCGTTGGTTTACGGTTCAAGAGGTGCGAATGTTCACATAGGAAAGACGTTAGCCGAAAATGCTAATCGTCTTAACTCCGCTTGTTTATACCGTAAATTCTCGTTACAGCTCATCAGCTGTTATAGTTTTGGTGCAAAGAACAAGAACAAAAATTTTTTTTAAAAAGTTTTTCTCAAATTTAATTCAATCGATTTCCACACGTACAGTACGTGACGTAAGTTAAGTGGGTGATCTACCGATGATGGGCACTTGTCTGTTCCTTTCTCTTTCTCTCCATCTTTCCATTTATGTTTCTCATTGAAATGATTTGAGTTGGTCAGACTAACAGCTAGCTATTGTGCTCATTTGCTCAATAGCAACTCCGAAGTACCCTTGACTCCAATTAGAACATTAAATACAATTGAAGCCCCCAGATATCAAACTGTTGAAGAGCCCATGCAGATGAGCTGAGCTAGTTTTTGGAGCTTTCTGAAAAAACTATAAAGTTTAAGAAAAAAGAAGAGAAAATAGTTACATTGTTGATAATTGCATTGAACCTGAATCAAATTTCTGTTTCAGTGGAGTAGTTGTTCGGCATCCCGTGCCTTTCATCATCTTACCATTTCTATTAACATGTGCCTTATCGACAGGACTTCTTAATCACAAAAAAGTGAGTTGTGCACTGTTTGTTGCATTTTTGAACTTTATAATGACGTTTGGTAAGTTAACAAAAGAGAAAAGACGTCAACTTCTTCTCTTACTCTTCTGTTTTTCACAACCAAACAGTCCGGAAATGGCTAATACACACGGAACGTAGATGGCCATACGGATACGGACAAATGAAGGATAAAGACAAATACTCAACAAAAAACACTCAAAATCTCTTAATTGTGGCTATTTGACAGTTTCACAACTTTTTTTCCTTTATTTCTCCCTTTTTGTGAACAAACAATAATTATATTTTTTTTAGGCTTTCATGAAAGATGAACTTGAACTCTATACTCCGACCGATGCTCAAGCTCGCAGAGAATTAGAACAATTGGATAAACTTTTTCATATAAACGATTCCGATCCGTTCTACGCAACAAGAAGGTACAAAGATATTTTCTTATTTGCTCAAAATTCATTAACCATATCCGTCCAAAGACTTTCTCATAATGAAGTGCTCTATTGAGCTCAGATAGAGCAATACGAAAGTTTCTTGATCTTTGGATACTATCTTCATCAACTTATCTGACCAACTTTAAGCCGGAAACATTAACATTGGTCATCGGATTATGAGCCGATTCTTCCAAATAATTTCTTCTTAGCTTCTCCAAATGAACTTTTTGGACTTTTGTAATCTTCCGACAAAATTTGGCTTATAATCTCTCTTTATACTGAGAGGGTTCAAAATTCAAATATCTTCAGCTCGTTCGGCAAAAAGACAAAGCTGAAAGTACAAAGTCTATCTACAAGACTAAAGAAGAAAAGAGAAACAGTCCAGCGGACTGGGATTGAACTTGTTATTCTTTCTGAGCTTGAATTAAACTTCATCCATCCATTTCGTCTCATCATCTTCTTCTCTTACCGTTCTATATTCTTCAGTCATCTGTTTCTATAATATTTGGGTGACAAACAAACAATCGATTGCTTACCGACGATTATCTCTTTTGCTCCTATCGTTTCATCTCCCTCGCGTGTGTTGTGTCGAGACCGTTCGAATCATTAGATTACCGAGCGTCATCTCTTCTGAAATTCATCGAAAAATTGACAAACATAGGGTTCGAATAATATGGGATGAGAATTCATTGATGAAGCTTAAAAATAACATTAAACCAACTGAAATGTATCCTTACAGATATGATATCAAAAGAGCCGGTTACATCATAGTCACACATCGAGAAGAAGATGCTGATATTCTGAATCCTCTAGTTATGCATGCAGCTATGCAACTCTGGAGTGTCGTACAGGTTTATTACCTGTTATACCAAACTGAATAACTCAATAACCTATTACAGTCTATGACAGTTGAAGATGAAGCTGAGAGAAGAATCAACTATCCAAGTATATGTGTGAAATTTCCTATTCCACCAGAATTCAGCAAAGCTTTACATTCCATATTTGCTCCAAACATCACGACGTGAGTTCCAATCTTGCAAATCTTTATTCCTTTACTACATTTTAACTTCCGGATTTCGCATCACATTCATGAAAAGGCTCTTGTTAAACATTTTGCCGTTTCGCCGTAGAAGAAAAAGAAATTTGACACTTTTCAAATTGTCAGTAGAGATGAACACATTCGGGTTTTACTTTTTGAGTTCTAACATATTTTCAAAGTTCTAAGCCAATTGAGATGGATTTTCTCCTTGCAAACTAGTATATATCCCAAAAAAACAGATTTTAATCTCGCCAATTTATAACAAAACTGTACAGGTCGAAACATCGAACATCGCTTGGGTTGGCTCTAACTTGAAAAATCAAATGTCGCTCTTGAAAAATTAAGCAATCTCCCTTAATCTCCAGAAAAACAAATATACAAGCGAAAGCAACCGATCTGTTACAACGTAAAAACACAACCGTTCGGGGCGAATGCTAAGCTAAGAATGCTACGTGTTTTGTAAAAACACGCGGTAACTTTGAAATATGCAAATTTCGCACGTTGTTTACGCACGCGCTATGAACTTCGAATTTCTTGACTTCAATCTCTGACCAGCAACATATCATATTTCTAATTGTTCTTTATACTGTGAAGTATTTGTAATCTTGTATTTTACAGGCCAGATGAAATTTGTGTTTCTAATCCTCTGGTTGAAATGTTTAAGCTGCTCTTAGTAGCCGATCGTTCAATATTGAATCGATCAATAGATGACATGACCCTCGGTCAAATATCGGATGCTATACGTTTCGATTCTGGAGGAATGACTCACTTGCTCGGAGGTGTTACATTAGATGAAGATCGTCGAATAAGTGGGGCAAAAGCGATGATGCTCCCTTATGCATTGAGACATTCATCTGAGAATGAAGACAGCTTAGCTGAGAAATGGGAATTGAGATTGGCGGATTTTCTACTTCAGGTTTGATTCATTCAATACTGAGCAGCAGGCATTTCCGTTTATAGTATGATTCTCCCGTTATTAGAGCGAGTTGGTGGACTTATGAAACTTTAGCAGCTGAAAGTGCTAGGGATCGAAATCAATTAATAAGGTATATCAGCACAGGAATGTTTATTATAATGAGTTACGATTTACAGTATGCTTGGACCATGCTTTTTGGCAGTTTCAGTTTATACAATTTGTATGTGCTGTGTGGCTTCATGGAGACGGTCTAGACCATGGTAGTTCCTCCTTTAATTCAACTTGAGAGAAACTTCTCGTTTTAGGTTGGCAATTGGAGGAGTCATATCGGCAGCAATGGCTATATCTTCAGCTGTAGGATGCTTACTTTTGTTAGGATATGGAATGACTTCGGTTGCTTATTCTATGCCGTTCATTGTATTCTGTAAGTGACTTTTCGAATTCGGGGGAATTGTAATCTGAAATTATTTGACAAGACAGCAAGATTAATCCGCGCTCAGTATTTCATACTTAAGTGAAGAAGTCTCTTTCTTCTTTGATACTGATGTTCAGTTCCATTCTTTGGTCTTACGCAACCTCAACCTAGCTTTTGTATCATTTTTACGCTTTTGAATGGCTGAAATCATGAGGAGGCAATGAGCTCTGTTCAAACATGGTAAAGGACCTTTTGGGTCAAGCGATAATCTCTGAAGAATAAGTGCTTTGGAGTATTCTTTCATCTTTTCACCTTTGTTTTAATTGTCTTCTCATTTTTCGCTTTCCTTTTGCAATTTCGTCGCGGTGAGACCACCTTCTCGAGGAAATATGATATTCCTCGGTCAGTGATTCAGTTTGTCCACTCAAGAGTTGCTCATGCTTAATAGCACAAAAGACATCTTCGAATTTCAATAACTCGTCTTTGTAATATCAGGCAGCTTGAGGGTTTGAAAGTGGTTGTACCACCAATCTAAATGACAGAAGATGCGGAAAAGTCTTAGAAGTAGGGAAACACGTTCCTATTTAAGAAAGATGAAAGACTACCGCATCCAAACTACTTCTGTAGTTTATACTTTTCGAACCAGAACTGTACATTCTGTCAATAGGCTATTGAGTAAAGTTGTTGTTGTTGTTGGGTGTCGAAGATTGCAAAAGAAGCGCATAGTAGTCGTTAATCATATAGGTATAGTTAATCTGCATGGTAAATACGATTTGGGAAATGTAGAAGAGTCCATTTCCTTATTTGGCTGATCTTCAAACAGAAAAGGGAAAGAATTCTTTATACAAGTCACCATAACTTTCCCTCATATTGTTTGTCACATTTACCTTTTCTTTTTCTGGAAGTTTAATCCAGTTCACGGTGTAACTGGCACAAACATCCTTTGAACTAAAGAGTTCAATTTGATTCAAAGTGTTACATAAAGAGCAATATGAAACTATATTTTTCAGCTGTCGGAGTTGACAATGTGTTTATCCTTCTATCAGCCTGGAGATCAACACCTTCATGTGCAGATTTGGAAGAGAGGATGAGAGAGACGTTTGCCGATGCTGCTGTGTCTATTACGGTCACTTCCTTGACTGATTTCATATCATTTGCTGTCGGATGCGCAACACCTTTCCCTAGTGTTCAAGTAACGTTCATTTCACGAACTTATGTGCAATTTTCACTTCAGATGTTCTGTATGTATGCAGTGGTGGCTGTCATTTTTACATATGTGTATCAAATGACCTTCTTTGCTGGTATAATGGTTCTAACTAATAAACGTGAACTGTCCAACCGCAATTGCTTAACGTTCAGGAAAATCTCGAAAAAAGAAGGTAAGTAAAGAACGGACCTGATTCTTTATGAACATGCCTTTCCAGTTTGGGATCCATCTGCAACAGACACGGATCGCAGTTTTGAGAAAAACTTCTGGTTGTCTCAGTTTTTCCGTACAACTTATTCGGATATTCTTCTGAATCCTGTAGCTAGATTCATGATTATCACGCTTTTCATAGGATATTTGGTAACTTAGTCACCGATTACGAAAATAACTAGTTGTTCCAGGGAATTGCAACATACGGATGTACTAAGGTGAAACTGGGTTTAGAGCCTAACGACTTGCTCCCGGACAACTCATATGGAAAGCGAACACTGCAAATGGCTGAGAAATACTTTTCTGGTATATACAACACATTCAATGTTGCCCGAACAAAACCATTTGTAGATTACGGTTCATCACTGCACGTCTGGATGTACAATCTTTCTAATGTGAATTTCGATAATCGTAAGGTCTGGGTTGTGTTAGAAGAAGAATTGAAATTGTATGAGCATACAGAGTTTACAGGAGGAAGTGATTCATGGTATGAAATTATATGAAGACTGAGATAATCATCACTAACTTCAGGTTGAAAACGTTTTTGGCATACATCAAGCAAGCTGGACTTCTCATCACTCCGGATAATTTTGTTTATATCTTGCAAAATGTTTTCTTATCTCAACCACAATTTTCTAAATACAAGCGGTTTGTTAAAGAGCTTATTGATGTTTTCCTGATCGGAAGGTTTAGGGATATCGTGTTTGATGCGTCTGACACCTTATTAGATGCTTCTCGGATACCTGTTCAACTTCGACATGTTGGGAGCGCGAACCAGAGCAGAGCCATGCACTTGTTTAGAAGTTTAGCCGAGACCAGTGAATTACAAACAAGCGTCTATGCTGACTTTTTCCAGGTTCGTTCGAAGCTTAACTGTTTGTATATTATGCCTATTTCAGTTCGCAGAGCAATATAATGCAGTTTTACCAGGAACATTGTCATCTATTGGTTACGCTGGAGTTGCTGTTGTTGTCGTTTCTCTGTTGTTAATTCCTGAACCAGTAGCAAGTTTATGGGTTAGTCCTAGTTTCAACTTTTCCCATCTAAACTCATTTCTTAGGTATCATTTTCGATAGTATCCATCAATATTGGTATTTTGGGCTTCATGACTTTTTGGAGTGTCCGATTAGATTTCATTTCAATGGTGACAATCGTTATGTCCATCGGCTTTTGCGTTGACTTTGCTGCTCATATAGCGTATAACTTCGCTAAAGTATATAGCCATCAATTTAAAGAGAAAGTAAACATTTTTTTAAGGGGAAACATATAGGTGCTGAAGAGAGAATGCGTAATGCTTTGTATGCAGTTGGAGCTCCTATCTTGCAAAGTGCTTCTTCCACCATTTTGGGTAAAACAAATCTCATTTTTGTTTCAAATGGTTTGATTATAGGAGTATCGTTTATGGCATCAGCCGAATCATACGTTTTCCGCAGTTTTCTGAAAACTATCATACTTGTCATTGCACTAGGTAACCACAATCATCCTCCTTTCCTCTTACGAGCATTTTCTAGGCGCTCTTCACGGACTGGTTATTTTACCAGTTTTGTTAACGATGTTCTATTGTGGAAGCAACGGGAAGGAAACAAAAGTTGATAAACATGCTAAACAAGTCGAAGCTAAACTTGCTGCTCAGTATACGAACGCTGCACGGACAGCTTCAATACAGGTAAAGTGAATTTCAAAAAAAATGGAAAACAAACCGCTTGTTTTCTTTGAACAACCGTGCTCCGCGCGCCCACAATGTCAAAATGAATTTCAAAACGTCATTGCGTGAAATCACGCGCCAATTCGAACTTCTAAATAAACAGTTTCAGTATCTTGCGGGGTCGGATATGTATGATCGTCCCGAGGATTACACACAGTTGGGTAGCGTTCACCCTGCTTCTTCTGTAGCGTCAACAGCTCCTCCAGTCGGGTTCGAATATCACGGTGCTATTCCTCGAGTTATGCCACCGGCTTACTCGGATGAGTCAGGAGCACCAGGGAAAATGCTTCCAATGCGAGCAAAATTGAAGTATAACAATCATCATCAGCCTAGTCATCATCACTTCCATCCACATGCTCGCTCCGCATCTAATTCTACAACTAAAGAACCTATTCCTGATTACACATTAGATCGGAGATAGTAGTGTTTAGCCTAGCTAAATTTTGTTTTAGTACGCATTGTGCTCATGTCCTGACATCTTTTGATCTCTTCAGCTCGTTTTGTTTAGATTTTATGTTTGCAGTGATCCCTGTGATAATAATTGTTTGTCCTTTGTTTAGTTTTCAAAATGAGAGAAATCAGTATTTCGTAGTTTTTGAAATAGATATACTGGTAGTACTGTTTATGTTTGTAAGTTCTATTTGCTGGTAAAGCTAATAAGCTTCGTTTTCTTTGCTCAAAGTTAATAAAGATTTATATTGAAAAAAATTTTTATTGTAGGAGGAGCAAGTAAGAGAAAATTAGTAAAGGATGTTACGAACTACTTATTTACAATATGAATAGGTTAGTTTTGATCACAAACTGATGGAAAGATTTTTAATTACAAACTTCAGAGCTTTGTTCGCTTATCATGTAAAGCAGAGAAAGACAATCCCTTACGCTTCATCGTCGGTTTCTTCTGATTCCGGGCATTGAAACGATGAACCTCTGTACTCTCCTTATTTGAAATGGACATATAAATGTCACCATTCCTTTGTCGGCCAATAATATGGGCATTCTGGCATTCGAAAACTTCTCTTTCGTCCATGATCGTTCTATATTGAGATGTTAAACTATATAATTCTAATAGATATCTTACGCTGAGTTAGCTCCTTTCCATTCAGCTACACGCACAATTTCTATTGAGTCATAATGAACAATGTATAGGAAAGGTGCTGTGTAGATGAACTCCATGGGCATTTGCTCCCATTCGATCAATTTTTCTCTAGTTTTAGTTCCTTGAGTGTTTACGAACATTCCATAATCTAGAGAAAGAAGTTAGATCTGTTGAATTTATGGATCGCTTACTTTGATAAGCTAGAAGAAGTTCGTTCTCAGAAATAGGTAATATGTTAATTGGATAGTCAGCCACATGGGTGGAAACAAGAGATCGTCCTTCACATGGATTGCGTGACAAATCAACAGAATAGAAAGTGTCAGTTCCGAAGAATAGGCCAGTCGGACTCGATTCTATGCACATGGCAGGTTCATTTGTGCTTATAGACTGTAAAACAAACATTCATAGCAAAGAGAAAAACCTCATCAATCAAACCTGATAAATTACGAAAACATCTCGAGTTGAATTGTATTTCAGAAGTTGTATTTTGGAGGAATCAGCTGCACATAAGTATCTCTGACCATTATTCTCGTGATATTTGAGTAGATGGAGATGGTCACAACCATTAATCATATCCGGTCGAATGGCAGGTGTGATAGACATCAATTGACTCTATAAGATTAAACATGTTTCAGCTTTGTTTCAAAACAAACCTTAAGTGTTGATATAGGCAACAAAGCCAAAGAACGAGTACTTCCAACAATCATAGCAATGATATTAAGCTCTTCAATTATTTCCATCTGAACTTTTTTGTTATACTAGCAGTTATATTAATAGGATTACCGCAATTACAGAGTTAAGCCCACTGACTCGAAGTGGAACTCTAGGAGATGAAACTTGAGTGAAGAACAGGCCTCCTTGAGCTCCAATGATGAGGTAATCATCAAGAATCTATGAAATGATTTTTTAAATTTCTATACTAAGACAATAGATCTTACCGCAGTCGTATGAATAGTTAGGTTATTAGGAGCGGATAGAACGAGTAAACAAGATTGCTCACTAAATGAACTTGGCTTTCTAGTAAGGACCATTCTTCTGGTTTGGGCAGATTGAAGAGCTTCAGCCCATTTCTTAGCAGTTCCAATAGATTGTGCTAACATGTACACGTTGCGACTGAAAACAGGAAAGTTTTGAAATTAATGTAGTACTGTCAACCATACCCATTCATTTTGAGTAAAATAATTCCAGATGTATATGCTTTTTCAGCTGATCTAATTTGCAAGGGAACATCGGCTCCAGCCCGTACTACGAACTGTTCTTTTTCAAGATCAATACGGAGGAAGGGCTTAGTGAGATCGCTGACATTATCATGATTATAGAAAGATAGGCTCTTTCTATCCATCATCACCCAGGCAGTTTGCCATTCACGTGATCCACTGTCATCACTTAATAATTGAGTTTCGAAAAACGTGCTACTGGCCAATTCATACCAGAAAAGTTTGATCCAGCCGTTCAGTTTTCCATTAGGAACGGTATGATTATCGAGATAAAAGTTAGCGCATTGATCAGGTAAGCCACATGTGTTAACAACTCTCACAGAACATTGAGTGTGAACGATAACATTGCAGTGCGTACAACGTCGCGCTTTTCCGAACTAAAACGAAGAATACGTAATTTACAGGGTAGGAAAGTATTACAGTGGACACTCCGATGAAGCAAACAGCACACTTGATACTGAATAAGCCAAGATTTCTAAGATCCTTCCATCTGTGAGGGATGTCATGTCTCATTGTGCCTTGAGGGCGAATGATACTGGACAAGCTTTTGGCTCTCTCAGGCTCTTCTACTATTTTGTTCAACTTTTCTTCTGAGCTGTTCAAACTGGCAGATGGAGCAGTTGGTTGATGTACGGGAACGGCAGGAGGTGGCATTTCTTTGCGCTCAGTCAACTCTTGAAATAAACTATTTTATAGTATTTGAAAGAGATGAACATACTTTTCCGTTTTTCCTCTAACTCAAGCAGCAACACAGATTTCTGTATCTCAAGATCTTCTACAATGACAGGATCAACAATTTCAGTGAAATTCTGAATGAAGAGAATGTTTCAATTTCAATTTGATCCGTTTTACCATGGATACTTCGCTGGGTGTTCTGAGAAGCGTACTTCTACGACTGACTTTAGGTAATTGCTTCGTATTAACTTGAGACTGGAGATAAGCGGTGAGATTCTCGTGTTGGTTTAACGCTTCAGATAAAGAGGTAATTTCCTCTTCATATGTATCCTGGAAAATGATTTTGAATTCTTAGTATGATGAAGACACATACATTGTTCTCTTTCATAACCGCAATTTCTTGTGCCATGGATTGATTGAGCTCACGTAAATCGTCTGCGTCTTTTTTGTATTTTTCTATCTTGGATACCGCATCAGACAATCCTTGTAACAAGTTAGCATTCTCTTCAGCAATTTTCTTTTCTCTGCCTGTGATTTGGTCAACCTAGCAAAAAAAAGATGTTTATGCTTTTTCGTTCGAATAGTTTACTTGTGAAAGAAGCTTCTCATTGAGTTCTGTTTGTTCCTTAAGGCGTCTTTCAGTGCTCTTGATTAAACTCTCGTTTTTCTTCAGTTGATCTTCAAGCTCGTTCAATTTGAAGGAAGATTGGAGAGGGGCAGCATTCTTTAATTGCTGTTGTTGCTCTCTCTCCTTAGCGAGATGAGATAACTCAGAACGATAATCAGCATGAATCTCTTTTATCTCTTCCTTAATAAGAATAGTTTGCAACAGTGAAACAGATGAACAATTTACCGTGAGATTTCTGTTTTTAAGAACTAAGCGATCCTTCTCCCCTCGTAACTGGTGTAATTCGGATTCCATTGTTTTCATTTTAGACAGGGACATTTCAAACTCTCGAATCTATAATACATTCGAATGACTTGCTGAGAAAATGTTAGAGTTCAAACCTTCGAAGAAAGTGTTTCCATTTCGCTTCTAGTTTTTTTCGTTTCATCCTCAGCTTTAATCTTTCTCGCCTGGAATCACTAATATGATATTTATCTCGAGCAGCACTACTAACCCTGTATTGCTCACATTGCGCATCTACTTCGTCAAGGATTTTCTTGAGACTTGCTAGCCTTGATACCAAACGGGTGTTTTCCTCTTTGAGATCGTTTGTATCAATCGAATGCTTCAGAGCGATTTCTAACTCATCGTTTAAGAGATTGATCTATAGGATGTGATAAGATAACGAAACATAGCATTCACTCACTTTATGTTCAAGTTCTGAGGTTGTACTTTCCAAACTCTTGATTTGATCAAGCAATTTGTTATTTTCACGTTCAAGTCTACTACGCTCTGTTAATGCTTCTGTTAGCTCGATTTGAACGGCGTCCAATGCTTTGGCATCGATAGCGTTTTTCTCAAGCTGAGTTAATGAAACAAATGAATTGCAAGTGGTAAAGATAAAAAGTGTACCTCTTGGCATTTAGTCTTGAGTGTTTCATGCTCCCTTTGCAGTTGAATCAATTGAAGTCTCATATCTGCTTTCTGTTGCTTAACCTAATTAGAAGTCTGTAGAATAAGCTTCATTTCGTCTTGATTACCTTCTCAGCCTCATCTACCAAATACTTATTAGTTATGTGCTGACTTCCTTCAATCTCTTCAATCTTCTTCGATAACTCATCTATCTCCCTCTTAGAAACATTTTCTTTATCCTTCCAACAATCAATTTCCTAATTAACATGATTAGAATATGGCTTATACATCGGAACATGATTACCTTCAGAAGCTGTTCCTCTTTCTTCTCCATTTCAGCCATTTTTGCATTAGTATAAGCGACAGTTGCTTTTAGAGACCCAACTTCTTCGTATAAGTCTTTAGTCTAAATAAAAGGAATAAAAACAATACAAATTAAACAGAAAACCATTTTAGTTAAAACCATATCTCACCACTGCTTGTAAGCTATCTGATTTGGTAAACAATGAGAATTTTTTTGGTGAAAAAAAATAAATTATGAACCTATTAGGTCATGAGAAGGAAAAGATAAGAAAGCATCTCATAATGGTCATTCCCGCCCAATTCAAAATAAAATATTGTGAACATACCTCATTTGATAATCTTGAAACAGTACGCTTAGGAGTATTTATGATATGAGTTCTTAAAGTTCTTATTTCGTTCAGGAATACTGTAGACTTATCAGCGTCTTCCTGTAGAAATTGAAAAATGGATTACAATAACTATAAGGCATAATATACCTTATTTCCCGATTTCTCTAAGAAATCTTCAAATTTAGCTTTGAACGCTTGCGTTTCTTCCAAAGCTGATTTCAAAGTACTTATTTTACCGAGAAGTTCTTCCTTCTCAAAATTAGCTTTCATGATTTTGTCTTCGAGTTCACTAATTTGAGAAGTATACTGAGATATGGATCTAGCATGTTCACGAGACTGTTCTAATATTTTTCCTTGCAATTTAGTTATCTAAGAGACAAAATAGTAAAACTACAAAAATGTGATAAATTACTTCAATTTTAGCGTCCTTATAAAGGCTTTCCAAGTAGCCTTCGTTATCGGTGCGATTCCTCTTATAATTTAAAAGTTCATTTTGCTTGAAAAGAGATAATTCAAAAGAAGAAAGGTGAATTTTTTTTTACCAAATCAGTGTTCTTGGTAACTTCGCGATTGCATTCAGCTTCTAACTCTTGCACACGCTTTCTTAAAAAAGAAACTTCTCTTTCCAATAATTCGACTTCTTTCCTAGAATCGCAAAAGATTATGATACATTGAAAATCGAAAGCCATACCCAGTTTTTGTTTCAATATGGCTCGTTCTTCTTTTGGATTCAGTAATGCTAACACTCTCAGTAATCGTAATGGTCTCATGCAAATTCTGACGAAGACATTTAAGCAACGAAATAATACAATTCTCATACCTTATTACTATCTTTCAATATTCTAATCATTTCATCTTTCTCTTTCAATGTTCCGCTATGATTTTCTGTCTCATCAACTATATCTAAGTCAATCACCTGAACAATGGGATGATACTGGATGTTTATTTTGTTTGTTTATACCTGAGGCCTTGGTGAGAGAGCCTTTCTCCTAGAACGTGCAGGAGATCTAATGGGAGTTGAGTACTCAGACTCCATTCTACTGAAAAAAAAACTAATACGCACTAATAAGAAATGTTTACAATCAGGTGTACAATCGTTTGAGAGCAATAACAGAACAATTGAAATTACCATATGTATGCAAATACAGTAGCCTCAAAGAGCGTCCTCAAATTTTTTGAATTCGAGCCGTGTGATTATTGGCGGGAACAAATATTATTTAAACGCCCTTAGTGGGCACGCTTGTGGGCGTCTCTGAGATGACCTTTGAGTGTGTCGGCAGAGAGAGGTATTAGAGAAAGATTTTTTAGCTTTCAGCTTTCTTTCCTCCATTAATATCTTGTAAGGTATACCAATTGTGGATGAGCGAGATTTTGATCTTGAAAAAATGGAATAATATATCGAAGAATAATATTGAATGAGCAACCGATCTTACTGACCGAAAAATGTAAATGAAAAAATGAAAAACGTGTTTCACGTGAAAAATTTATTAGTGACTACACGTAGCGTTAATTATGCAAATTATTATTTTTGTAGCTTGAAGCTTTCCGATGAGAAATGATGGATGATTTTTTTTAATTATTAGTTGGTTTAGAGCAACTGATTTGATCTTCATAAGTCAGCAGTTGTTGCATGAAGCCGGGGTTCGGCTTAGCTACTGGAAATACTCTATCAACTCTGAGAAAGAGGAGAAATGATACTTTTTCTATTTTTGCGAACAGCTTCTAGAGCTGCTTCAAGTTTGAATCCTCGTACTTTCATCATGTAAGCTAAGACCAATGTAGACGACCGCGAAATTCCAGCGTTACAGTGCACGAAAACCTATAATATTTAGTATTCCTTTCGGAGAAGATTTTTGGAAAATACTTTTCCCCCAGCATTTATAGCTCTTTGAATATATTCGGCAGCTTCATCAAAATAATCAATGAGTCTCATAGAGGGCAAATCAAATGCTTCAATAAGCTTGTAAGTGAACTCGTTGGGAAAGAAATTGGGAATTCCTGTTGCAACATTCAGTACATGAGTGATTTTTAACTTTTTCAGTTGTTCAAGTTCTCTGGCTGCATCTTGACTCCCTTAACAAATATTTTATTGATTCCATTCGGCTAGAATCAGAACCTAAGAACAGTCCTTCGCAACACTCGGCGATTTGCAGATCTGGGTTCAAATCAATAACGAATCCTGCCCTTCGTGAGGTACCACCTGGTTTTGAACTTAATGTCAAAAGGAAAGAAAATAATCATCTACCGTTTCTTCTGACAAAGTTCCCATCACTTGTCCTTTCCTCTATCACAACACTTCCGTCTTCAAGCAAAACGCTATAGAAAACATTACAATAGTTCAATTTATTTGAAAAATGTAAACAAAATGAAAAAAGAGTTTGAGAACGCAGATTTAACTTAGCGTAAACTGAATGAGAATAGAAATCTCAGCTTCGAAATATTAATAATATAAACCACTCACTTTGTTGAAGTTTTCTTCAAATTAGCTTTTTTGGCTTGAAGATCAGCCAGGTCGACCATTCTGGTATATGGAAGGGGACTCGGTTTATAAGTGCGCTCCGTTGCGAAACGCCGCAAACCATAGGGGTCGTTTAAATAAGAATCTCCCGGGGCAGTGATCTCGTGTTTTGTATATCTCATTTTTGAATTTTTATGTATTATTTTAATTATATTCTGGGTATTAATTGAAACTTGATTTATTTTAAAACTAGAGGAGAACTCTTTAGAAGTGAATAGACGAAAATTGATCGAAATCTAATGAGTTCCATTGTAGGTTTCTTGAACTTAGTTCCCCTTAGTTCAAAACAGGGACTAAGTGGAGACTTATATCAACATGACGCTGGATACAACACCTAAAAAGCTTACTGACTTTCGCTCAATCTCTTACAATAGATTTCACAGAGGAAACAATGTTAGAATAACTGTGGCCGCTAACCAGGTTTTTTTCTTTTTCACTCTTGTTCTTATGTGCAACTGCTTTTCTAGGGCGGAAGAAAGTACATGGAAGATCGAGTTCAAATTGAAACCTTCAGGAATAATGACGGAGCTGTTCTTTTCACTTTTCTTGGTGTTTATGACGGGCATGGAGGGTGTGAGGCCAGCGAGTTTGTTCGCAAAAACCTAATGAATAGCATTGTGGTTAGATAAAACAATGTTAAAAGATTCTTACAAAGTTTTTTTTCTCTAGAATCAAGAAGTCTTCTTCTCTGATGATGATGACGACATTTTAGAGGCTATTCGATTAGGTTTTCTTGAAACTCACGAGCAAATGTGGAAGGTTGTAGGTACGTGATATCGTAATCATATGTGTTAAACTCTTCCGTTCTTTTAGATACTTGGCCGCGAACAGCGTCAGGCTATTCTAGTACTGCTGGTACTACTGCTAGTGTAGCCATTATCCGTGGTGGAAAGTTATATACAGGTCATGTTGGGGATTCCGCCATTGTGTTGGGGAAAAAAGGTTTTGTAACTTTACTGTTTCATGTTTAAATTCGTTGCTCTCAGATAGTAAAACTATGACTGTAGTTCCCGAACGTTTAACTATTGATCATAAGCCTGAAAGTGAAGATGAACAGACAAGAATCCAAATCGCTGGTGGTCAGGTCATGATGAAAAGCGGAGTGAATCGTGTCGTTTGGACTAGACCATTGCGTGGGCATACTGGTCCTGTAAGAAGAAGTACCCCCACTGAAAATATTCCATTTCTGGCAGTAGCTAGAAGCTTAGGTCAGCATTTACTTTATGGCTTTTCGTTCATTTATTTTTTTAAAGGTGATTTATGGTCATATTGTGAGAGCACGAAGCAGTTCATTGTATCTCCCGATCCTGATTTGAATGTTCGAACTCTAACAGGTAGGCCTAAACACGAATATTATTTTAGTTTATTATCATTAAGATGATGATTGTTTTGTTGTATTAGCATCCGATGGATTAACCAATGTGATCTCTGCTCAAGATGTAATGGCGTTTGAGCTGCTGAACTTTGATAATTTAAACTCTTATAGGTTACTTACATAGTAGATGAGGATGAAGAATTAACAAAGAAATCTTTTGCTGGCAGAAGAACAGATTATATAGTTAGTTTTTGATGGAAGTTTCAAGTTGTATTGTTGTGTTTCTAGGAACGTGACAAACATACTAATAATGCTCGGTCTCTCCTATTCGCTGCACTCAAAAACTGGCGAACTTTCAGAGCTGATAACATCAGCGCTATAGTGGTTTGTGTGTTTATATAGTTAATGGAACTGTTTTTTTTTTCTCAGGCTGTTTTCGATCCTGTTGTAGCTGTGAATCAAGACGACGACGTTGCTTCTGTGGAAGAAGTATTACCAATGAACCGCTCTATTGATGAAGTTTTTTGTGTCGACCCTGAAGCAATGATTAGAGTCTCACCTTACTGTACTCAAAAAATAGCCACTTATCGAACACCTCTAGTTTATCAAGGCGCACTAGATAACAATTTCTCTTGTAAGTATTTCCCATAATATGCTTTGTTTACCTTCGTTTCCAGCTGTTAATTATCGTGGACCAGGATTTTTAACCCACGACGAGGAGAAAAATCTCGAAGAGCGCTACCATGATGCTGAAAATGAATCAGAGCTTACTAATAAAGACTCAGCAGAAGATATTATCGAAGAGAAGGAGAGTATCGAAGCTGAAGATGAAGAAGAAACTAATTCTATCCAGGTTACACCTGAGAATAAGGGAGAGGTAAAAGAAAAACTATTTATATGTGTATCTTTGTTTCTGTAGGTATCTCCCAGTGTGAGATCGCGCTCCGCAAAACGATCTGCTCCAATTAACTTATTTAATCGTGACAAGTTGCGAAACAGTGGAAAACGTGTTAAATCTGCCTTGAATTTGGTTTCGAAGTTAATTTTTGTATTATACTGATGCCCTTACTTTAGGCTGCTAGTAATGAAGAGAGTGTAAACGAAACTGGTAAATACACCGATGAAGAAAACATTTCTGAAACTAACGTTTGGCTCCTTCAATATATTTGCAATACAATTATATTTAGAACTCTTCTACTCCTGAAAAACGGGTAACCAGAAGCAGTGGACTAACATCGAGTAACAAAAAAATGTCTAACAGGAAGTCGAGGGATAGAAACGAAGTGAGTGTTGTAAGTTTGAAAGAAATATATATATATATCGTTTAGGAGTTTGATTCATCTACTATTCTTGAGTTCTCTGTAAGCGAATCCTCATTCACAATGACTACTAGGTGATTATTCTATAAAAATTCTTTACTTCATTCCCTTTTTTCAGATCGAAGGATAAAATGAATGCTAAAACTTCGCCGAATACTTCACCAAAAACTCCTGTACCATGCAAATCTCCTAATAAGATTTTAACATCAGCTAAGGTTGAAATACCATCTTTCTTGAGTTGTTAATAATTTATTTTGCAGAGTAGTCGTAAACGTCCACACACTTCTACAATTGTATCTTGTGGTGCTACCCCACTTGTAAATAGATTAACTATAGATACCTCGATAGTTCAGGATTCTGAGCCGAAAATGAGAAGCGCTCCTACTTCGCCTGCCAAGGTAATTTTGAAATCATTTGAAATAATCTGATTTGTTCATTCTAGAAGAGTGTTCCAACTGGTTTGTTAGGAAGCAAATGGTCACTCTCCAAGCTGGATGAGATGAAATCCACAATAAGAGAAGAGGAACCCCCTAGCAAAATACGTAGAATTTACGGATTCATGCGCAAGCTTGTTGGTTTTGCAACTTCTCAGTCTTAGGTGAAAGCTCGTTAGATTAAACTACAGGATTGTTACTTTACATTTTGGAACCCTTTTTCACTTGTCTGTCGAGTGCTTTCATTTTAGATTTATCTATGAACTTTCATAGTGTCGGATCTCTGTATAGGAACTGTTCCTTCGATATTACATTATTGATATAATCATCGTTTTAGAAAAAACTAACTATTTTAATTTACATTTGTTTATTGGTATTCCGGTAATGTATAATAAGTCCATGCCGGTATTTGAGAAATATACGGATTATTGTGGCTAAAATAAAGATCGAACTATTGTTTTTCTCTTAATGGCATACAATTGTATTTTGCTGTCTTAATATTTTCTTATCAGAAAGTTGCTACTAGCAGTTTCTGTACAGAACGGTTGCATTCTCAAGTTCACTATTTCATTTGGTGGTTGAAATTGAGATTGAATTCAATGATTTATTTCTGAAATCATTTATTGTTCAATGGTTCAGACGTCGTTTCTACAATGTGTTGAAGGTGTTGTGTTTGTCGGCCAACCGTTGCCATGGTGATATTGATGTTGCTGTTTGATGGTCGCGAAATATATGAGAACGGTTGAATCATGCGAAACAAGGTTAGGTTTTCTGTTTTTGTTCCCGTAATATTATAATATGTATATGTAGGAAACTGCAGCTATTCTCATTCAATATTGGTGGAGGAAAAAATTGAGGGAGCAATTGAAAATAGCGGAGCGAGCAGCTGAGAAGTTGATCAACAAATTGTCATCCAAAATAATGAATAGTTTAGCGCCAGATGGCAAGGACTTACCAGAATCAGTTTGAGAAATGATGAGTTGGTTGAGAAACTGAAAAAGCTTCAAATGGAAAAAGTTAGAACTAAATATTCTGTTCGTATATTAATCATTTCTTTCAGAACATCGACTTAACAAAATACGAAACTATATTGAATCGTCCAGCTCGTGATGTTCCTATGTTACTCAGATGCCCCGACAAAAGTTTTTTGAGAGAAAATGCGGAGGACATTATCAAAGAGAAAATGCTCAAATTAAAAAGAGATAAGGCGGCCAGAGTCCTACAAAGAACGGTTAGGAGTAGTTCCAGTTCAGCTGTATAATGAAGTTTCAGTTCCGGAAGTACACCAGAAACCAGATACGGTCACAGTTTGAGAAAAAAATTCTCAAAATAACTCCAAAAAGAAGGCTGGAACTGATGGCTGAGATCCGAGATCGTTTGGAAAAGAGTAAAACCGTTCAAACGAGCTCTTTAAACAATTTGAAAAGCCAAGTAAGGATTCTATTCTACTGCAACATTTCGTTTTAAGATTGCAGATTATAACCGGAGTAGAGATCACGCTTTAGCCCAAATGACTTCCAGAGAAATACTACTCAAACAGATGAACAGAGATTGGGATATTCTTAGTCGTAATAATGAAATCCGTTTTGAATTCCAAAAATGGCAATTTTTGCAGAAGACAATGAGAAAGATGAATACGAAATGATTCGTCAACTACGTACGGATCCTTCTGCTGCTAACATCAGGGCGAAGTTCAACCACGAGAGGGAAATGGAGAAAATAGAAGAAATCATGTATCGGAAAATTTGATATTTATTAGACAAGCGTATAACAATCATTGATAACAATCGGATCAAGAGTTCGTCAAAGGAATTCTTATATTACCTAACCGTATAAGTTCTTTACCATATTTTTCGTACAAACTTCCTCCTTCCTGAAATATCGTATTACTGATCATTATGATTGAATGTTATACTTGAAACTCTGGCGCTGGTTCTCTCATCGTCAGAGCTATCCTTCTTCCTTGTATGTGTTTAGCTAACACTCCATGCTTCCATTCATATCTGAAGTACCATCATTGAGATGACGAAGTTCGTGTTTTCAAGTTACCTGATATCATCAGCCATACATAACAGAGACCTGTGGGGCATGTACACATAGCAGAGTTGTTTAGTAGTGTCATTACATAATGTCATAACAGATCCTGAGACTAGATTGATACTGAAAATGCAGACATTGCCAATCCATTCATATGACTATGAAGACCTGATCAAACGGTTCCCCCATATCCATGTATCATCTTGATGCATCTCAATAGCGCTTTTCTTGCTCTCATCATATTCCAAGTTACACATTTCGAATGGTTGATAGTTGCCGAGACTGAAGTTCTCTCATTCTTTTAGTATTCCTTTGAAGTATTACCGTGTGTTTGAAAATTTCGCCATTTTTTCCAATAAAAAATCCGCATACTCTGGCATGCCTGAATGTTAACATGAATTTACATTATCACTTAAGCACAACCTAGAAAAGTATTGGTTTTGACTTTTTTGTGTTTGAAATTCACTTTCGGGCCATAATCCTACAATTTTATCTTTAGAAAGATGATAGAAAAACATAAAACTGGTAGAATTAAAAGCGCACCTGCTTTCGACGTCCAGATTGGGAGGGATGCCATTCAACATTGTCAATCATTTTCAAAACAGAAGCTTCTTCTTCTTCACTAAGAAACTCGGCTATCAATAACAAGCCATTTAGCTTCAAGTCCGAAGACGAACCAGGTACGACATTATGTAAAACTAGAAGATTGAAGTATGAAAGCTTTCATAGTAAGGCAACAATACTTACCTTCACAAATTTCCTCCGTGGAAGAGTTAGGGTTTAGTAAATCAGTTTTTATTGCGACATCATGTTCTAGAGAGTATACAAAAAAATCGTAGTGCTTGTAGGGATCTTCTTCAAATTTGAGTTTCAGAACTCTCTCTGACTGTTCGCACAGCGCACAGAACCTGATGCCTTTACATCCGCAATCTACGCTCTCCATTTAGTATATACAGCAAATACTTGGTACAATCGTGGAAGATTTCTTAGTTGGAAAATATTTCGATGATTCACAGCTTATTCATAGTATGAAATATTTAAATAAACAAAAAAAATGTTGAAAATTGGTATTTAATCGTGAGCTTAAAAATGGATACGAGCCAAGTAGAGAGAACACGAGATTATGCGTATGGTCGTAAAAAAGGTTCGTTTTAAAAGTGCTAAACAGAGACTATGTTGATTCACATTTCTTTTTCTTATCGAAAAACCGCATATATATGTATATTTCATCTTGTCTTTTTAAGGAAGAAGTTTTTTCTTGAATGTAAGTGATAACTCAGCACATATTAATCAAACTATGCCGCCTGCATCAGCGGTTAAACCCGGAGTTATAAAGGTAAGCGATGGTAACTCGCGAAAATCACTGGTGAAATCTTTTCTAGGATCCAGCGATAGCTGCCCTTTTCACTAATAAGGATCCAGAGTCACGGTATGATGACTTGCGAGAAATTGGCCATGGGTCGTTTGGCGCAGTTTATTTTGTAAGTTCATCTCTACGCCTAGTTAGACTCTCTGTAATCTTTCCTCTTGAAGGCATTTGATAAGGATCGGAATGAAGCTGTAGCTATTAAGAAAATGTCTTATACGGGTAAACAAGCTTCAGAAAAGTGGACTGATATACTAAAAGAGGTTTTTTCGAGTAATGAAGACTCTAGTACTCTCGAATTTCAGGTTTCATTCCTCCATAAAATTCATCATAAACATATAGTAGAGTATCGTGGTTGCTTTCTTAAGGATCAGACATGTTGGGTGAGTTTCTTTCTATCTGCTGATAACTTTATATGAACATGTCCAGCTTATTATGGAATATTGTATTGGTTCTGCCGCCGACATCGTAGATGTTCTTCGTAAGGGTCTACGAGAGAATGAAATCGCTGTTATTTGTAGTCAAGTAATTCCCTCCGCTTCTTTTCTCTCTCATTCATTTCTTAAGACTTTGGATGCTTTAAATTATCTTCATAACATGAAACGGATACATCGAGATATAAAAGCCGGCAACATACTCCTGTCAGACCATGGGATTGTGAAATTAGGTAAGCTTAATCCTATTGTTCTATGTTACATTGTGTTTTAGCTGACTTTGGTTCGGCTTCGTTGACAGATCCTGCTAGAACTTTCATCGGAACTCCCTTCTTCATGGCTCCTGAAGTCATTTTGGCTATGGATGATGGGTCTTATACGGAAAAAGCCGATATTTGGTCATTAGGTATTACCTGTATAGAATTAGGTAGGGTTTTCTGATGATTTTTATCTGAACTTCTGCTTTGAAGCTGAACGGAGACCTCCGCTTTTCAATATGAATACCATGTCCGCCCTCTACCACATTGCGCAGAATGAGCCTCCTACTCTGGCTCCTGTACAAGATACTCAAGCACCTTGGTAATCATTTATCCTTGATTGATAGAGTATGACTATTTGTCCTAGGTCTTCCACTTTCATGGATTTCATTGCTAAATGCCTACGGAAAGATCCCGAAGAAAGATCATCAACCGACTCTTGTATTCAGGTAGTTCTAGGGAGCACCTCTTTCATCATTTTCTTTTTTAAGCATAGTTTCATAACCTCTGCAAGAGGTAAGGACACAATTTCGGAGCTCATATCCCGAACAAAATCTGTGGTATTTTCTTTTTGTTAAACTTATCTAAGTTATATTATCAGGTTCTCGAATTGGACAACTTCCAATATAAAAAGATGCGAAAACTAATTTATCTAGATGAGGCAGAAGGGCGCGATATTGAAAACACAGGTACTATTTACAATGTTTCTTCATTATTTTTCTTCTATTGCAGGAACTCATGATTCCGATGATATCGACGATATCCCTAGCAACGTAGATTCTTTATCCGTAGATAGAAGTATACCCTTAAATCTTTTTCATGTTCTAATTCCCGTTTTTAGCTGGTGGTTCAACAAGCTCGAGGAGTGTGTCGATAAAAAGTTTGACGTCTTTCCAATCATTACAAAGTAGTAGCGGTCCCGGAGGCAATAGGAGACCTCCTATTCCAACGAGTATGAGACAAGATAGTCATGACAACGAGGTACGTTCGTGCCCATGGTATAGGTGTGAAGTTTTTTTTCAGAATAAGACGACTATACCTATAGGAGATATTTCATTAGAAAGTTCTGAACGGGAAGGCGATTGTGCTCGATCAGCTTCTCCACTTCCTGTTGTTAAAGAAAGAAACATTAAAGTCAGTATAATCTTCTGGGAAATTGTTTAAAGCATGGGATTACGTTTTTTTGCAGGATGACATGATGACTTTACGAAATTCTAAATTCTCAACCCTCCGATCGGCCAAGCTCATTTCTCGAGAGCAGGAAGAGTACGCTAAGGTTTCTATTTTCTGTTTTGATGTTTTTTTCTAAAAACTCGTCGTTTCAGGAAAACAACATGTATGAACAAATGAGTGGATACAAGCGGTTGAGGCAAACTCATCATAAAGAACTTCAACAGGTTTTGATATGAGCCATCAGGCTACTTCTCACACAATGTTTCAGTTCGAAGAAAAATGCTCCACCGAAGTTGAAGCTTTGAAAGCACGTCTCGATAAAGAACTTGATCAATTATTGATTAGCTATGGCAAAGTACGCTTGCTTTTTCGTTTTTGAACTCATTGGTTCCTCTTGTTCAGGAAAGGCAGCGTGTGAAAGTCTTACATCAGTCTGAAATAGAAAAAAGGAGGAAAGAAATAGATGAAGGTGCCAAGAAGTTAAGGAAGCAAGTTGTGGTGAGACTTTCATTCTCAAGAATGAGGTTTGAAAAAACTTTTAGGCTCGACAACATCGTGAAATGTCGGCTTTCTGTGCTATGCAGCTGAAGGAATACAAACACAACAAGGAACTAGCTAAGATAGTAGGCTTGTTGATTTACAAAGTTTTTCTTAAATTTTGCATGCTAGAGCTTAAAAGATAGAGGACTCTCGCGTGTTGCTTATGAACAAGCTGTAAAGGAGACGAAGCTTAATCTAACTAGGAATAAACAAAGTGCCGAAGCTGGCTTTGAAAACAAATTAAGAAGCGAACTTGATAGCGAGATGATTAAGTATCATAAAGCTCAGTTGATTCGCCTACAAACTTTGGAAGAGAAGCTTGATGATGAGGTTAGGAAGAATCTCATGTTGAAACAAAATTTCAATTTTAATTTGAAGGAATTGAATGTGCAGGAAAAACAAATGGAAAACAAGCAATCCATGTTGTTGAAGCATCATGAAGCAACAAAGGAAACTGAAATTCTTCATCAACGCGAGCTTCATTCCCTTAAACGAAGACATCAGGTAGTTCAAATATTTCTGAGGAGCTCATTTCCCTATTTAGGAAGTGCAACACGATGCTGAATCGGCTAATCAAGCAGAATACACTCGTCGTTTAACCGAAGATCTGAGAAAGAAACATGCCATGCAGAGTAGACAACAACCAAGAGAACTCAAGGTTTTCATTTTTGAAAAAACAAATTTTCGAAGAATATTTTTCAAGCTCAAAGAAGCCCAAATTCGCAAACAATATCGGCAGGCTGTGAAAACCCAGACGAGACAATTCAAACTTTGGCAAAACCAACTTTTCCAATCCATTCCGAAAGATGAGCAGAAGGATTTCGCGAATCGCTTGAAAGAGGTTTCCCTTTTCTTTCAGTCAATTTTGAAACTTTCCGCATAGGAGCAAAAACGTAAAATTGCTCTGGTGGCTTCTCAATATGAAAGCCAAATTGAGAATATGGTGCAGGAAAAAACTGTGAAATTAGAATCTTGGCAAGAGGACGAAGCCCGTCATCTGTCGGAGCGTTTAGCTAAAGAATTGGATGATTTGAAGTCTTATCAAGTTCTTCAGAAGCAGCAGTTGGATGCTTCAATAGCAAAGGTATTAAATGAGAAAGATATTTTTGTTTTTCTTCACAAGTTTCCTTTTCTAGGAAAAAAGCACCCTGTCCGAAAGGATTGCATTACGGTTGGCAGTTCTCAACCAGCGTTTTGACGAGGAGAAAAGTGAACTATCCCATATCCGTCATTCTCGCAAAGCAGCTTTAGCGGAGAGACATGAAAGAGAACGGCGTCATCTGGAAGATAAAGCTGAATCTATAACAACAGCTCTTTAACACATCAATTATACGGGAACCTCATTAGGCTATGTGAGTTTTATATAGAATTCTAGAAATATAAGTCATTTTTTAAATCGAACCCGAGTCAGTAGTCCGTTAGCCATTTAAAAATTTGTTTTACTAATTTATAGTTTATTCCTACGCATAAATGCTTTACAAACCTTCTCGTCGACTGCCCTGTTTTACCAAACATCCTTTTGCCTTTTTCTTTCAACTTTTTTTAAGAATTAAAATATCTTTCCTTATATCGGTCTCCTCTCTCTAGACTCACTTTCCTTGAATAGCCCAAATGTGATATAATTACGTGAATGCCAGTCATTGTATAAGTAAGAATAGATAATTTATTGTTTTTTGTCATATAGATGGTGTTATTCCGAGTAATTTATTGGTTCGGTCTCCCTTTCGAGAAAACGGCCAGAACCCCGGTACTATTAGAGTATGATTCGCAACGAATATAAGTGCAAATTATTATTGTTTCAAATTTTTATGACAAATGTGTCGAAATATATCGAAATGTAATTCCCCACAACCTCCCTCCCCACTCCTTCCTCATCCTTCTCTTTTTATTAGCTATTTTTATTCTAGATTTCAGTAAGTCGTGTATGTATTGACATCTCTTTTCCTAGCCCTCACATTATTGTATCGTTGATCAAACTGGTGTATTGTCTAAGACTTCAGAATATACTACTAATGCTCAAGAGAATCAAATTTTCTAATAAAGTAAAATGTATTTTATTTCATTTGTTTGTCCTTATACGGTCATGGTTCCTACGTCCACTTTATCTTATTCCGATTAATTCTTTTTCTTCTCATTTCCTATCTCCTCCTACTCGTCCTCCTCTTCTTCTTTCTCTTTCTCACATCGATCTTCTCGTCGTTGTCCTTTTTTGGTCAAAAAGTTTCAGTACCTTCTTAACTGTCTTTCGTTTCTCAGAAGTGTATCACTAGGAAGGATGAGTGGAAGTAGTATTCCGGAAGATTAACTGTCCCTTGGGATGTTGGCTTTCCACATTCATCAATTTCTGGCCAGCACCAGACTATTGTCGATTCCTAGTCAGCTCTTCTGTCAGTTCATTCGTTGTTTTTTTTTGTGCCGAGCCTACTTAAAAAAGCTCGAAGTAAACTATTTTGTTTCCCTTTTTTAGTCTTCATCATCAAGTTACACAGGGATAGAATACCAAAAGGAAACCTGAACTTGTCGCAGTTTTCTGCATCTTCAGCCTCTCCTTACACAGGTTCCCTTATCCTTGTAAGCAAACGTAATAAGTATGAACGAAAGGTTTCAGTTGTAATACATATAATCTTTGAATGCATGTGTGGGTTGGATATCCCAAAATGCCCGTTATTTCGTTTACGTTTGTCTTCCTTTTCTGCTTTTTTCCCGCATTTGCTCTCCTTCTCTCTCTTTCCATACTTCTCTCGATCTCCTTCTCTCTCTCCACCCTTATTCTGCTCTGATTTGTTCTCGTGTTTTCAGCGAAAAGTGGGTCATTCAATCATCCAACTCTTCTCACTTACACGGACATTATCAGACTCTCTGTCTCACCCCCTGATTGACTGGATTAGTTTGCTCACAGTGGTTGTCAGGATATAGGATTTAAGCTCATAAACCTCATCCGGAGAGAGAGTTCCGAAAATCAACTGAAATAAGCCTTGTCGTTATTCACAAGTTATATATCCGATTTAGTAGATAATTGTTGATTGGAAGCCTTATTACAGCAATTTTCTCCTTAGATCCACCCCTCCACCCCCTCCTCCTTCTGGATATGCGTCTTAATTTGCTTTAATCGAGTAAGATGGAGTTTAAAGGAAAGAGAAAGAATTATAAATTCCTTCCTTTTAGAATCATCGTACTTAATGAGTTTATGGGAAGGTTTCCCACACTCTCACGGAAAGTTAGATCGTGATTTCCGAATGTTTGACTGTCATACTTCCCTCTTTTTTTTTCAAAACTCTTTCGTCATGAGGATAAACAACAAGCTTTCCTAATGTTTTGATTGCCATAAGTATTTAGTTGAATGATTTCTGTGACCTGAGGTTTCTGATAAACAATCGAAATTCATTTACAAGCGCTTTTCCCATTTATTCACAGAATGTCAACGATTCAGAAGCTTCCTGCTCGAAGTTTCCCTTCAGCTTTTCTCAAGAAAATACTTCGTTTCGTTTCTATATCTCCTCATTCTTCTGTGCTTTCCCTGAATTATTCAACGACCTTTATTTGACGAAGGTAATTCATATTTTCATTCGAAGCGTTGTGCTCTTTTTTTTCTTCTTAGGCTTCTTGTTGGTGTTGTTACGAATCCGTATGAATATTCGCCTTCAAGATTGCATTAGTGTTGAAAGCGCGCTGAGCTTTTCTATATATATGTGAATTCTTCAATTTAATTTGTATTTATTTACGTTCAACTACCTTGTCTTTTCTATGTTCTTTGATTCACATAATACGAACCTAGCATTTGTATCAAGCATTACTTTCGACTGAATTGAAGGCTACACCTCTCTCCAGCTTCTCCGATTTTTCTTTTCTCTCCCACTCTTTCTGCATAGGATACGCTCGGAAAGCAGTCTCATTACTCAATGTTTATCCATTTCAAGCTTCCCAATTCTTTTTATATTGTGGATTTTGTATGAGATCGATTTCATGTTCACGCAATCACGTTGATCTTCGAAATATTGTCTGTCAATTCTCTTGATGGCACTCAGCATCGTTCACCATGTTATCGATATAGACATATAGAATATGAGGTGAAGGAGGCGGATTAATATAATCCTCAAATATTTTTCTTTCAAAACAATATTCCTTGTCGATACAGATTTAACAATGACTACTGGTACAATTGACACCACCTTGCTCCTTCATCTACATACTCTGGCAGCTCTGGGTGGATTCATTTTGAATGTTTTTTTCTGTGCAAAGCGGTTGTATACACCTCACAATTTTTTCTAAGATTTTTCACGTTTCTACTTCATTTAGCTCAAAACGGACGAACAGAACGGTTGTTTTAGCCCTCTCTTCTCATTCCTGTCTCTCCATCTCTCTTTCTCTCGTCACCTATTCACCTCTTCTCTTTCTCAATCTTTCTTCCTCTCCATACATGATTTAAAAAAGCTCTAAGATTTCATCTTATATCTTATGAGCTTATCGTATTTCTTATTTTAGTTATAACAAGACGAACTCTTTAATCAGGCTATTTGTGTTTTACATCTTCCTACGAAATCAAACCATCCTCGGTTATTATTGCTATTTTCCTTTTTTGGCTACATTTTCTAATTATTTGTTAGTTCTAAGGAATCGGCAATTTCCCATATCGCTCTCTTCTCAAATTCTAATAAGAGCTATTGATGCGAATCAGAGTCACGTCTTTTGCTTTCTTCGTGTTCAACAGCAGAAAATGGTTCTGAAGATTTTCCTCTTCCTGAACGCACACTCATATGTTCATTTGAAGTTCTGACATATTATTGGTCAGAATGTTTAAGATGAAAGGTTCTATATGTGCTCAGAATTTATACATATATATGTGTGTGTACATGGCATCTCTTTTTCTCAGATGCTGCTTCTTACCCATGCTTCATCTCTCTTGTCCACAATTACAAAGTTTCGAATGCTTTGATTGATCTTTACTCCTATTTCCATCCTTGTTCTTTTTCTACTTTTTCAGTCTCATACTCAATATGTTTCTTTGTCCACTCACCCTTGTCTCTATCCTCTTGAGCGAGTCGTCTTGGAATAGCAATCCAGCTTTCCATCTCTCCTTGCCTTCTTTGGCTTAACTCACAGACAACGAAGAAGAGTCTACTAATGTGTATATGCTTCAACTGAACAGCCCAGGAGAAGAGTTAACCGGAAAAGCGAGAGTCTTTCTCTCTTTCTGTTTCTCTTTCCCTCCTTTTCTCTCTGACTATTCTAGAGCAAGTGAGTGAGAAAAGGAAAAAGAAAAATGCTTGTAAACGAAAGAGAAAAAGAGAGAGAGAAGCTTCGAACATCAGGGAATTCGGTGTTAGATGGCAGTGCTCATGTATCTCCAACTTGCTCACAAAACATTTCAAATCGAAAACTGATCCGATAATTATAAAGGAGTGGGGATGTCTACATGATGCTTTCTACTTGCCTATTGGATACACATTTAGTTGCAGTTGGATAATGGCCAAGAATATTACGAATAGCTGAAAAGCGGATGATATGTGCTCATTGAAAGCCTGCACAATCTTCAGCTCGTGCCTTCATCCGTGTGATTGGCTGGCAGCTTTTTTTTCTTCTCTGCTCAGGCGCAGCATGGCATTACATGCTTGTAAACTCGAAGTCGTAGAGAAACATGGCAAAGTTTCTCAAATCACATGCGCACACTTTTACCGAGACACAGATACATGACGGCGGCTATCGCAGCCTCTCCAGGCCCAGTCCAAGGCTGCCAAGCCGGGGATCGATTAATCAATAGAGCGGGAAGTTGGCAGTGGCTCTCGGCCTGCTTTTCGTCAACGTTCTTTGAGGTTCCGTCATATTTTATTTACCATGCATAGATCTTTTTTCATGTTCCGTGTGTTACTGCTCATGCGTTGTGCCTATTTCTAGTTCCATCTACTGACCCTTTCTTCTCACACTGTCTTCGACTTCTACATCTCATCAAATATTTGTTTATTTTTGCTCAACTGCTGTCACGAAATTAAGTGTGAACATTCAGCTTTTCAGCAGTTTATAGAGACAAGATCCTCCTCCAAATGCAACATGGTTTTCATTTGGATCGGCTTTTTCTTCTTTTTTTTTCACTTTTTCTCTCTCTCTTCTTTTCTCTTTTGGCCGATTTTGAGTATTCGGAGGCGCGGCCATTATATCCGTCACGCACATAAAAAGCGATTCTGTGTGGTGCGGGGCAGCTCTTCCGCCATCGAACTTTAAAATGTGTCGAATAAAAACGTTTTTATTTGGTAGTGATTTATCTCCAAGCTTCATATAAAAGTCATTTACCATATTTGGAGAAGGGGGGGGGGGGGG